AGCTTGGAAACCCCTCCAGGGGTGGGGACTCCACCACTGCCCTGGGCAGCCTGGCACAGCCCTGGGCAACCCTCCAGGGGCAGAAATTGTTCCTCAGGGACAACTGAAACCTCCCCTGGGGCAACTACAGCCCAGCTCCTCTCATCCTGTCCCCTGGGGACAAGAGATCTCCCCTCACTGGCTCCAGGCTCCTGTCAGGAGGTGTCAGAGCCAGAAGGTCTCCCCTGAGCCTCCTTTGCTCCAGGCTCAGCACCCCCAGGGCCCTCAGCTGCTCCTCCCCACACTTGGGCTCTAGACCCTTCCCCAGCTCCTCTGCCCTTCTCTGCCCACGCTCCAGCCCCTCAAGGTCCTTCCTGGAGAGAAGGGCCCAGAACTGCCCCCAGGATTCGAGGTGCAGCCTCATTAGTGGGACAATCTCTGTCCTAGTCCTGCTGGCCAGACAATTTCTGATTCCTAATACAAGCCAGGAAATAAATCAAATGCATCAAAAGAAAGAATAAGAATAATAATAAACCCTGTAACATCTTCCTTTGTTCCTAGGAGAAAATCCAGGGCCGCTTGGACTTCCTGAAGAAGGAGAGACAAGAGCTGCTGGAGTTTAAAGTCAACGATGACAAGAAAACCCAGGAGCTCCTGGTGGGTGCCCAGGTTTGGGGGTGAGGGTCCAGGGTGGAGTGTGTGGATGGGATGAAGACCCATCAATCCAAACCATCTCCTCCCCACCACGAGACCAAAGAGGTGGGTGCTGGAGCATGTGTGACAGCTGAGCCACCTCAAGAGCTTTCCTCCACCCATCCTCCTCTTCCTCAGCCTGTATTTTGAGGGCCGGGGTGACCTCCTGGACCCATGCTGGAGGACAATGGAGTGAAGCAATCAAAACACACCCAACCTTGTCTGTGCTGCCAACGGGAGCGTTTCCTGGAGCAGAATGTTCTCACTTGGCCCTGGGCTTTGTCTCGGGGGGGATTTGGTCTGTTTGTGATGACAACCCAAGTAGGAACTGGGATGTTGGCAGAGCTGATCAAAGGGCAGGG